TGAACATCGTACTCAAAAGATCATATAACCGTATTGATCAAATGAGTAGCTATATGAGAAGCAGAACTTAAGTTGTCTGGTAAAAGCCGAGTAAATATATCATATCTTCGTACTCTAGTGTTCTAAAAGTTTCRAGCCTCCCTATATAGGATGGATTCCGATATAACAGGAATACATAGTCCGATATTTCAAGGTTTTTTAACGTAACTTCTATTTACATGCATTCTCGAACCCACACTCATTCAAAATCTCTGTAATTACTTTCATTAAATTCCATCTAGTGGAGGAGGGGATCGCGATATAAGTATTTCGCACGAGGCTAAAGATGAAAATGTCCGTCTSTTCTTTGACAAGAAGGTATATACTTCATCTTGAGGAATTCGATAATCTTCCACTTGATTACAGGCGTTGTTAATAAAACCTACTCTAGTGAAAAGATAGTAAAGCTAAATTTCAGCATTACATTTCTACAATGTCGCTTCTCTGGTGTAGAGTGAGTTGAGAACATATTATATTAGATTCAATACTATCTATTGCTATTGAAATTGAATTTTTTTTGGGTTTCGCAGTCATTCTTGATTAATTAATGAAAGAGTTTCTACTATCCTTAAAAGACCTGAACCATTTCGTAGACTTCGTTAGACTTTTTTTGTTGCAAATGATAGTCGATGAGTTGATTCTCCCCAAATTTGTCTGCTCCTTTGTCGAAACCTCCGATATCGGACCCCTAGGATATATTTGCCATACAAATTTACCAATCTAAATCATGTTCTTGTATGAAAGACTTTTTTATTTGACAAGATATCTTCAAGAAATCTGGCTAATACTCTAGTCAAGGTAACGCTATAATCCATGAAGTTCGGCCGCTATATGCTATAGCCGCCATTTAAACGTGCCGATCAAAATTAAGTTAAACACCTTTTTATACTCGTTTATGCTGAAAGAAATACAACTGGGAAGGGAATTTTACAGTCAAAGCAGTAAATTATATACGCGCAAGCTCTCTCTCCTCGGCTGTTGGCTTAATATTTCGTTATAATAACAATAAAGAGCCCCTTAAGATTCGAAGTGATCCTTTTTGTGGCACCTACGATTCGGGCAGCACACGTCATAGCAGTATTTGCACTCTGTAACCAAAATTAATATTATTATTGGTATATATAGTAGGTTTTAGCTTTTCAAAATTATATCCTTAGGGTCCAATCCTCGTACATAAATAATTGTACTTATTGCGATATATTTTTCATACTTTTTTATTATTATTTCTTAACTTTTTTCTTATTATTGTTTCTCTCTCGCATAAATAACACGAAACCGTGAAATGTGAACCGCAACATCTTCGTCTTCAACTCAATGMCCACCTACAATCGGAATATCGTCTTAAACACCACCAACAACATCACCTTTACGCACGCCGCTCTGTGCGTACGTCCTTTCGATTTCTATGTGTCTCATCTGTGCGCCAATTCTCGTCGCATGCAAAATGGAATTCGGTCAACTGTTACTGATGCCAATGTTGCGGTTGCTGCGGCTGTTGCTGATTGGCGTTTGCTGCTGCTAATACTGTTGTTGATGCTGCCTCCGGCCGCTTGCTTCTATTATATCATTCGCCGACCCAYGGGTGCTGCGTYTTCCTTCCCAACTGCTTGGCGACTTTTGTGCGTTTGACATGTTCGCTTCCCATCTCTTGTGTTACACTTCGTATTCGTCGGCCACAGACGATTTTCTCTGTGGGCGACATCATTTGTTTCGATTCACCGCTGACATTGTCATCGGTTTGGAGCAGTTCGGATGAGCAAATTATTGCAATTGACAAATTTACAGGTGAGTAAAAGTTTTTGCATAATTTCCAATTCGACCTATATTATTTCAGCCACTTTCGGGTGGTTCAATTGTCAGCCCATCCAGTGGGTGGGTGGATTACAATCGGGTTTAAATAGACAAAGAAATTATTTAATTTAAATGCATTTAGTTTAATGGCGTTATATGCACTTACATTCAATTTGAGCTTTTGCTCGGGGAGGATGAAAATAAGGAAATAGGAGCCTAAGTATGGTCGTTGGTCGAAATCGTCATGAAACAGTTTTGTACTCGCAATGGTATTTAATATACTAAAAAGGACATTTTTGTTCTTATGTTATTATTAGTTCTGAAGATCTTCTTGGCTGACAATGTTGTTTCAGTTAAGGTTGAGAAAGAGAGAGCAAGAGATAGAGAGAGAGAGGGATAGAGATAGAGATAGAGAGAGAGAGAGGGATAGAGATAGAGATAGAGAGAGAGAGGGATAGAGATAGAGATAGAGAGAGAGAGGGATAGAGATAGAGATAGAGAGAGAGAGATAGAGATAGAGAGAGAGAGATAGAGATAGAGATAGAGAGAGAGAGAGAGAGAGAGAGAGAGAGAGAGATAAAGGGAGAGTTGGACGAGAAAGTGAGTTTAAGAGTCCAAAAACATTTGCCTCTTCGAAAAAGTAAGATTTGGGGCAACTTCGGAAGGAAGTAGGACCACCTGTTGTTGTTGCTGTTCTACATACAATGATTCTTCATGCCCACCGAAGCCTACTCATTTAACACCGCAATTCCTATAATCTGTCTTCTCGGTCCTTTGTTGGTTCAAAATCCGCACCCGTTCAGGTCACTTAGACTCGACGCTCGTGGTAACGGACCTTAGACCTCGTTGTTGTTATTGTAGCGGCAAAATTCAGCCCAGTTGACAGTCCTCGGCCGGATAAACAATCTGTGTCCGTTCCGGTTACGTAGACCCGACTGTGGTGGGAACGAGGTCTTCGACTTAGTCGAAAAAGCTGGTCTACGCTTAGTTGACTTTTGAGACAATTAACATTACTAATCTTTAAATAATCCTACTRCAACAACAACAATAAGTGTTTTAGGGTGATGAGTTAACAGTTCCTGTCGTATTTAAATCCAGGCGCGTTTACCACAACGATCATTCGCAAGATTAAAAGGTGTTTTAGACCTCTTTGCGTACACATTTCTGCTCGTACTACTTCAGCGAGATATCCTGTGGTGGTTGTCAAGTAGAATTTTTCGGAGGTATATGTTCGAAAACAGAGACAAAGACAACGGCTACGTTGGCTAGGTCATGTCGTCCGAATGTATGGAAACACTACAGCTCTGAGAGTATTCGACGCAGTCCCGCCGGGAGTAGCAGAGAAAGAGGAAGACTTCCACTCCGTTGGAAAAATTAGGTGTGGAAGCATCTGGCTACACTTGGAAACTTCAATTGCCATCAAACAGCGAAAAAAATGAACGACTGGCGCGCTGCCAGCGAAAAGAAAGAAGAAAGAAAAAGACATGTTCAAAAATCGGAGAATGGACTCTTTGTGCCTTTGTGATAGGTCGTTTTTTTAAGGTTTAGCGCGTCTATACCAAGGGCATGTTTTCTGACGATCAGCAAGRCAGTGCTTCTCAAGCTTCAAGGGACGGTGACTTTTTGAGGCCTCGAGGTATACCTTTAWAGTACTTCGACTAAAACCTAGACTAAATATAGACATCTTAGCTGTTTAACAGACATTTGTTGTTATTGAGTTGTTTTTGTATTAACGGTAGAAACTTTTTTGCAAATATTTTAGAAACAAATTTGCTGGTCAATTATATTCCTAAAGCGTATTGTGAGGAAATATGCTTTGAACTGTAACCTTTATAGTTTCTAGCACAACCTAACCAAAATTTAAAATGTCCTCATTCGAAATAATATATGTATGTATATGTACCTATACTAAATTCCCACCTGAAAGCAATAATTAACACCTTTGTTGTTGGCTATKTTTTGCCTTTATTTGCCGAATCATTAATTTAAATTCCATTCGTCGAATCGCTAACAGTTCGCATAACTGCAACGCACTTCCCTATGCATGRAAATTGTGGCGACACAGCCAACCAACAACAAACATCCGGCCATAATGCACAATTTAGCAGGCCCCGGCCACACGCGGCAAATGGCTCGATGAAAGGTGGTTCGAGTTGGTGGCATTGGATAATCATCGAACGGAGCTCATATTTGAAAACATRCTATATAATATATGTATGTACACACATATATATATACACTTATATATAGCTAAATTAGCAGGAAGCCGCCGCCGGTATATAATTAAAATAAATTTGTGAATTTTAATTTCCTATTACGAATTTCGGTCACACAAACTCAGTTGGACGAAGCGGCGATAGAGGCCAATATTTGTGCGCAACTTCAATTGTTTATGTAATTAGTGAGCTCGGCGAATGGGCAAAGCATTTGTCAATATTTTACGAATCTGTTGTTTTTTTTATTAAGTTTGTATATTTTACGGCTGACGTTTAACTAAATTTAAGTTTGAATGAGTAATGTTTGTATTAAAGCGTTAGACAGATAAATATTATATAACCAATAAAATTTATTTAAATTACCTTTTCTGGCGAAGTTCCACAGAATAAATTACAATGTACTATGAAAGTGGGTTGCGATTTGGAAATATTTGAATCGAAAGATTCATTACACAAATTCGAATGTGACATATCGACTATAAATCGAATGAAAAGTCTTTGACCTTACTGAAAAAATCGCGCCTGTAAAAAAATTTTTTTTTTACCATAAAGTACTAATGATTCTTAACCCAATCGCTTTCAAGTTATTTGCCTTCAAGTGACTCTTCTTCTGCAATTTTTTTTAACACTGTAAAGAAAGTGAATTTCGTTTTTTGTTTAAACATTATTACATTTATGCAAAGCAATAATTACATATTAGTCTTATGACGGATCTTCCTGTTCTTATTTATTGGCGTAGACACAAACGCTTTGCATTGAATTGTCTTCTACGCGATTATAGCCGAGTTAACGGAGTTAGTTGGATATTCCAAGTGAAGCCAGGTTCTTCCCCACCTGGTTCTTCCAACGGAGTGGAGGTCTTCTTCTTCCTCTGTTTGCCCCGGCGGCTACTGCGTCCAATACTTTCAGAGCTGGAGTGTTCTCTTCCATCCGRACAACATGACCAAGCCAGCGCAGACAGCGGCTTGTTTCTTGTTTCTCTCGAAAACTYGTAACGTTGACTCATCAAATGGGGTCATACGACTCATCAGATGGGCGACGACTGTTTGTTTGATGACAGGAGATATTTCGGCTTGCCTTCGCTTCCTTATCCAGTTTTCAGAAAGCAACAATCGAGCCTCTTTTTAAGAGTCTTTTCCAAGATTTGCCCCATGTTGAAAATCTGGTCGGTAGTAAATTTCACAGGTCTAAAGCCACACTGATAAGATCCAATCAGTTTGTTGACGGTGGGCTTTACTCTTTCACACAACACGCTTAGATCCCACGACAGTCGGGTCTACGAAAACCGGAACGGACTCGGATTTTTTATCCGGCCAAGGACTGTCAACTCGGCAGAATTCTGCCGTTACAACAACAACAACAACATAGAACTTTATATGCAATGTTGATATTGTGGTGTCTCCTTTTTTATGGATTGGGCAGAGCACACTTATATTCTAATCGTTGGGCATGCTCCTTATCTATTCTTCGTCGACGTATTTGATTAGCTCGGCTAGTAATCCATCGGCTCGGSACGTCTGCTCCATCGTCATTGATTTGGGAAAAAGGCTGCACCATCACCGGGTATAGGCTARATAATTTTAGTAAGCAGTATATTACAGATTATTTAAATTTGTACTCTAGTTAGCGATTCGATACACRAACAGACAACCAGAAAACGCATCGTCTCATCTCTCATAATTTTCGTAAATAAAATTTGAGAAATATTGCTTTCAAGAAGTGCCAGTTGATATAAGTACATATGTATATAAAACACATTCGATTCGTATATTGGCGGCAATCTCGGCATGGTCAAATAAAGTTGCCAAAATACTGACGGCATCAATTATTCATAAGCCTAAACAGCTCAAACCCGCACAGAAACGGACTTTCTAAATTTGCAATTTACACGCTCGAAATGGTTAAAGTTCACTCGCCCCTCATGCACACAGCCCACACACAGATACACATATCTTCTCTCGCACACAATACAAAAATGTTTCCTGCTGTATAATAAAGAAATTCACATGTTCAATATATTTCTGCTCCCGTTATCTTCTGTTTGCACATACTTCTCATCTAAGCGCCTATAAGTAGGTTTATGCATTACGCTGAGGCATTCTTACTGATGTATGCAAGCACCTACTGTATTGCCTATGTATGTGTGTGATTCGAGCGACAATGAAGCAGCAGCACTTAGGCGTAGATGAAATGATTATGTTATTGAAGGCAAGACTCTCACTTAAATGCACATCACAGGACATCAACACAGTCGCATAATATTCACATGTGTTTGTGTGTCCATATGCGCACATTCATGRAGACAGCATGGCATCAAACATTATATCTTACGGAGAGACAACAACAACACATTGAACTGCACTGAACCGTGTCTGCTAACTTGAATTGCTCTCCAAAAAGATTATGAAGAATAAGAATGCCGAAATAAAGGAAGCAGAACGAGCAAACGCTTTTGATTTTTACTTTGCGCTTTATTCTGTTTTTTCTTCGCTGGGCACGAGTATATCATTTCGTATAGTTGAATGATTTATTTGCTGCTCTTCTGCCTATCAATATTGTCCATTGAAACAACACACAGGCAGGCACACGTACTTATGTGTGTTTTTCAACGATGCTTGTGGTCATACTGTTATACCAATATCTAACTATATATACAAAAATATGTAAATACYTTCCGGATCTGCACATAATTCACGCACCCATCTGACAGCTTAAYATTTGCAGCTTCTTTAAAAGCATACTACTATGAGCAAAAAGTAGCAAGACTTTGTTCATAAT